CCACAGTCGACAATCTGTTTTATTCAATAGCTGACTTCGTATATTTCGCATAAGTCGATATTTCCAATCAATCATATGTGATACAATAACTGTCTTGTGATAAGTCATAGAGGAGTTTTACAATATATTCAAGAAAAAGAATTTCCTACGGACTGTATCTTTTATATCTGAATAGTTTTACGTGCCTGACTTTTGTTGATCATATACTGTAAGTTTCCATTCAGAAAAGGTGATTACAATGATTCGATCGTTCCTGAAATACGTTAAAGTGTATATTTTTCGTTTTTTCTCTTTAAATCTTATTAAATTTATTTGTCCATTCCTGTATTATTTCTGTTAAGTATCTCCTTCATCTTCTTCTTTCCATAATAATATCATTTTTTGCTTTCTTCGTATTTTTTTTTCATTATTATTCAGTTTATAGTATGGCAGAGTTTTCTGAAACTTACTACATTTTTCATTCGTATATAATCAGTCAAGTGCTGGTAAGATTGATAGATCGATACGCTCAGGGAATATTTGCGTAAACGTTTACCTTTAAATAACCGGTGCCTTCATTGGAATTATTGAGTCTGATATAAGCAAACTTGTTACATTTGCAGTGATCAAACATTATCACAAATCTTAGCCTTCTGTCTTTCTTGCAGTTGTCTAGAACTAGAGAAATTATCTTTTTTAGATTGTCTGTTCATGTCATCAGAGATAAGGAAGAAGAAAATAGAATTAGTTATGTATCATTGATAAATTTTTATTATATAAGCGATATTTTATAAATTTTTGTAAGTTTCTAATGTTCTATGTTAGAAGACATTGTAGATATTATATTTAAAGAGCAATATATGATTTATCATCCAAAATGCATTAACTAAAACTATTCTAATGCTTAACATGTTTTGTCCGATAACGCATCTTCTTACTGATGATACTAATCGAATGAATAACATTTGGATGATAGCTTAGACGTTAGCGTTTGATATATGTCTCCAATGTCTGCCCAGACTGGAATGTTTGAGAAATAGGAAAAAATTCAACATGAGTCGGAAACTTATAAAACATTCTTTTGTGTATGTTACTTTCAGCGAATGTACGCTGGTTAAATTGAATTCTTGAAGCTCGAGTTTTTTTAACGTACAATTTCACGTGCTACTAGCTATTTTTTTTTCTGAACGGAATGAATTAATAGAGAAAATAGTCCTAATTCATAAAAATAGTTTAAATGAGTTCTTCATTATTCAATTTTGTTGTTGTGTTATAATAATGACGTACTGGTTTGATTTTTCTCCGTACAGATTTCTATCGCGTTAAACACTAGAGATTCGTACACAGCTAAATAAACTTATTCAGTTATTGTTACCAAATGATAATAAGATTGAAGCTATAAAGAACTCATCTAAACTGTATTTTCAGCGAGCTAAGTCTAGGAGTGAGAAAGTTATTGTTATTTTTTTTGTTATCATAACAATAACATTCACTTTTTGATTCAAAAACATTAATGAAACAAGTGTAAGCATAGTTTGTGCGTACGTCAAAAAATCACTTTATTCATACAGTATCTTTATTACCATTTGATATAAGAATCAGTCGTAAATATTTTCAGAAATCGTAAAATAACTATTTTTGTTATTGTTATTGTTATTATTGTATAACAATAACAAAAAAGTTATTTTATGATTTCTCAAAATATTTACAACTGGTTCTTATATCAAACTAACGAGAACCCGTGCATATTGCACGGCTGTTTTCTCCATTAATGTATGACCTCAGACATTTAACTTTTCATCCAGTAAAATACATACAGACAATCGATATTATGTATATAAATAGGTTTCCCTACGACCTCATACTCTCATATCGCACATATTTTTATAGTCCATGCAGCCTTCGGCCTTATCGCCTTATATTCCTTGTAGCCTTATCTCCCTGTTGCCTTACTCCCTTCAGGACCTATGCGTATCACAGTATAATAGCCCTTGCGGACCTATGGGTACCCCCATAGGATAGCCCCTGAGGACCTATGGATACCTCCATAGGATAGCCCCTGAGGACCTATGGGTACCGCCATAGGATAGCCCTTGAGGACCTATGGGTACCACCACATAATAGCCCTTGGAGATCCATAGCTACCCCCCTATAATAAGCCTTGGAGACCTATGGGTACCCCCGTATTATAGCCCCTAAGGATCTATGGGTACCCCATAGGATAGCCCTTGAGGACCTAAGGGTACCCCCACATAATAGCCCTTGGG